AAGGAAGTACGTGCAAATGGAACTCCTTCTTGCAGGCCTCGAGCCTTGATCACCTCCTTCTGCTGGCGTCCTCAGCGGTCCTCCCTCCCAACGAGGCGAGCTTTGGCTGGAAAAACGCCAGAACAGCTAAAATGCCAGAGGCGGGCGTCGTGCTGGAGGCTGGTGAAGGCAGGAAGCTAAAGAGGTGCTTCTAATTTGAATGAGTTTCTGGATGATTTTGAGTTGCCTTGCTATTTGAGGACTTCGGGTTTTGGGGGCCACGCTCCGCTGCCGCTTTCCCCGAACAGCCTTCTTCCGCCTGCGCCGCGGAGCGGCGGGTGCCGTGAGCTACGAGGTGAACTGCCCTGCGCTGGGCCTGCGGCCCAAACGTGGGGCCCATCTTGGGGGAAAAGGTGTTGAGCTCTACACTTTCACTCCTCGGTTTAGGCGGCCTGCGGAAAACCTGGACGTTTGAGAGTCCGCGGGCTCTTGCCAGGATCTCAGAGTTGAGGCACAGATTTCGCTCGCTTGCCTTTCCCCTCCTAGGCAGAAGTGCTGCTGGAGACCCCCGCCTTAGACATGCAAAGAAATGCCTTTGGTGGACAAAACTGAGAGCAAAGGCACCTTCCTGACTCGGCCACGGACTTCCTCGCCCACGCCGGGGCTTCGAGATGCACAACCGCGCAACGCAAGCTTCATTGCAAGTTTTTCAGCGAAGTTGTCGCATGTTTCCGCATGGAAGGCCCGAGCCACTGCACTGGGTGAGATTGTCTTGTTGACGAAGGAGTGCCTGTGCCTTGCCTCCTGGTCTCACGGCTGAGGGCTAGTAGTCACATGTTCCATGCAGAGGCAGCTTGTACGAGTCACGAGTCACAAGTTGGTGTGTTGCCAGGAGCAAATGGCCAGGCAGCAACAGCAAGGAGCAAGATTCAACATGCTTCGACCCATATGTCTGCTCCGGAGAAAGAAGATTGCAAGGACAGCTTCATTGCCCAGACTGCGGTGAGTTCTTCATTGGTGAGCGAGGCTTGCAGGCGACTGCGGCGACTGTGTGTTTGCCACACCTCAAGTGAGTAGGCAAGGGCTTGCAGGCCCAAGGACGTAGAAACTCGGGCAAAGTAAGCTGGTTCCAAGGACCACCAGCGACGCAAGCACCACAAGGCAGATTCCTTTGGGCTCCTGAAGCTCGCAAAAGCAACGTCATGCAAAGCTCAAAACAAAGCTGAAGTCGCAGGCCGTTCCTGAGGCCCTGGATGTGGTGCACTGGAGCCGCTTGCAGCTGGTGCCCGTCCCTGCCAAAAAGTTTTTCTGGCAAGAGGGAGCACAGACACTCCCAGCAAAAAGAGATCAACTGGATCCAGTCCTCTGCGCCTTGGAATCATTCAGCTCTGCTTACACTCAGCACTCTCCTCTCCTGTCCTCTCATCTCTGAGGCGCCGCCCGAGCTGGGGATCTGGCTACTTTGCAAGGGCTGGCTGCAGACGGCTGGGACCTGCAGACACGGGATCGCCACGGCTCCAACGCACTCCTTTGGGCTGCAGGCTCAGCCGGCTCAGCCGGCTCAGCTTCCTTCGGTTGAGATATCCTTTTGTTGCACACGCAGGAGGCGGCCATTTGGAGGTTTGCCAGCGTTTGGTGATCGAGGCAATACTCCTGTGAAACCTCGTGGGGCCTTCTGAAAAAAACAGGGCGCAGGAGATCCGATTAAGAGAGACGCGCTGTCGCCAAAACAATGGATTTGGAACAATTGGCAGTCTGCACTCTCTGCTGTTTTTCGAATTTGTCAGAATCCATACCGTTGGCGCGGCGGGTCAGAGATACATGCGCCACTAGAAAGGCCTACAGTCTACATTGACAACGTCAAGCCCCTGTATCTAGACTACAATGGGGACCCCCACAGGCCACAGGGCGAGGGAGAAGGACGCAAAACTGCAGCTTTAGGACTGGAAAGCTTTATCGGCTAGTGCTTTAGGCTTTAGGCTTGTTGGGTTCGGGGTTTCACGAGTGAGCATGTGAGCGTGGCCAGGGCCTGGACCCGCATGCTCAGCAGAAAGACGGGCGAACAGCGCTGCACTGGGTACCGCACCCAGCACAATGCTTCTAAATGAGCCGCGCTCTGCAGATTTGCTTGGATCAGGCTGCACGCAATGGCCACCTGCGCCCGAGTCCCAGAAAGCAAGTCCTCCTCCCCGAGAAGTCCAAGCATTCTTTGAGAGAAGCTTCTTCTTCTCTTCTCATAAAAAGCTTCTTCAGAATTTCTCTCTCTCTCACTCTCTCTCTCTCTCTCTCTCTGCCTCTCTCTTCGCCTCCGAAGCTAAGCCTCCTTCGCCTCTCCTCCTTTGGCCTCGTAGCCAGGCGTCTGCCAGTGGCTGGTGCAGGCAGTCGCTTAAACTGCAACAACTTGCCTGCAACTTGACTGCAACGCCGCTACCTGGGCAGGTCCACAATTTGCCCGCGAACGGCCCGACCTCGGATGGCACTGTTCCGCAGGGGAGCCGAGGGGAGCCCACAGAGTGAGAGAGTGAGAGTGAGAAAGAGAGAGACTGAGAGAGTGTGTTTGAAGTCGCTTCGGTCCTCTGGGGTACCCAACCTCGAACGCGTGTGACCTGGGGCGGGGAGGGAGGGGTGCAAGGCTGCAAGGCTCCTCTACCGCCCGAAGAAGAAGAGGATGGAGAGAGAGAGCGAGCCAAAATCCAGGCCAGCCACCTATGCGGTATGGTTTCTGTGTAGTTATGGTCCTTGATACATGGCGGGGTACGGGGTGCTGGCTTGGAATTTCCCGCGTCTCGGTCCGCTGGGTACCCGACCCATGACCGCGAATGGGGCGCGGAGCAGTGCTCCGAGGAGGGCGTAAGGCCCTCCTATCGCCGGCAGAAGACGAGTGTGTGCTTCGATGTTCGGAACGCAGAGCGTACTGTGACATCACGACAGGATGCATGTGGAATTGGAAAGAACAGTGGCTTTTGGAAAGTTCCTGTGGACTTGAAGCCTTACATAAACACCTGCCCCAACATTGCCCCGACATGGGCAGCAAAGGTTGACACTCGGAAAGTGGAACGAACCAGCATTTGGCATGCAACTCGGGGGAGCCTGAGGCGAGGTTTGGGGTCTTTGTGTCGGGGGTCTTGGCGTGTGATGTTCGGCAACGTTTTCCTCTGTCAAGCACCGGCCAGCTTGGGCAGACTACATTGAGGTGGTCAGATCTTCGGTCAGCAACGTATGAGATGTCGTGACAGTCGACAGAAGTGGAGGGGCTGATACATTCTTGTGTGACGGATTCGAGGCGCAACGACTTGGGCTGGACATCTCTTCAGCTTTCTCGCAAGCATCACAGGCAAGATGGGAAGGACTGTGAGGAGAAGAGAGCGGCAGAAGAAGAAGAAGAAGAAGACGAGGGGGGCGGGGTCCAGCAGCCGCCCTTGTTTCTCCAGTACATATTACCAGCCCTGGCACACCTTCATTGGACCGCGCATGGCACGTAGAAGAAGTATTACGTGAGGTAAATGTTGTTCTGAGGCATGGTCATGTCCCTATGCAGTGGTCCAGTGCTTCGCAGTGCTTCGCTTTGCATCCCTTTCGATGGCAGCTCGGCCCCTGCTTCCTTTGCTCCGCGGCTCAAAGCATCTTCCCAAAAAGTGCGGTGTTGGGGTGTGGGCTTGGCGTGTGGAGCGTGTGGAGTGTGGAAGAGTGTGGATCATCTGGACTTGCCTTCAATCGAACCTTGGACCAGCTACATTGTTAGATGATCCTCCTTCTCAAGCATGAATGGCAAGAAGTCATCTTTTTGATTCATGGTGCCCGCTCTGAAGCTCGGTGAGCGAATGATCTTTCCGGTTTGCTGCACGGGTCTGTGTTGGGCACGGCAGCTGCTGATGGTCATCTGCTGGTGATAGAGCACCTGCTGTTCGTGGTCTTGGTGTGGGCAGAGGGGGGGAGCGATTCTGACTTGGAGCCCTTCCGAGGTTGCACTGGGCCGTGTGGCAGGGTCACGAGGAGCCTCGCACGAAAGGTAACTGAAGCATTGCAAAGTGCTGCTGCCTTCAGGATGTTTGCTCTTGGCTCATCCACGAGGTGTCTGTTGCTTGAGTTGTGAGGGGGCGGTTGAGCATGTGGAACTCTGAAGAGATGCAGAGGCACGAGCAGATCTGCACGCCAAGAACAAGTGACCTCTGGAGCAAACGACGAAACCAAGGAAAAGGGAAGAAGATGGAAGAAGAAGCAGCCCCTCGCAAAATCTCGATCCAAAGGTACGGCTGCAATGCCTCGCAGTGGGCAGCCTTAGCGGGCTCGGTTCCCATGTGCCAATGGCTGCAGCGCGAAGGCCTGGGGTCGCCACACAACACAAAACACACAAAGAGACTCATAATTGTGCTTTCATCTGCTTTATGCTTTTGAGAGAGCTTTTCGATTCCAGGGGGTTCTTCTCCATTTCTTGAGGCTTGGACTTGAAGGTGCTGAACTTAAACGGCCATTCGGCACTGCACAAGGCAGCTGCGCGAAGCTCAGCGAAGCCCGTTCGCCCGTTCTTCGCGTGCATCTGATTGATGGCAAACTGCTCAGGTAAAGGGCCAGTGGGACTGTTGCGCATGGCTCTTGAGCGAGGCAAGCTTGAGCAAGCAAGCAAGCCTGCACGTAAGCACGAGACATAGCTCTCAAGCATCTCTGTCAGGAGACGACGGATCTAGGAGGAGGCGAGTCAGTTCATGTTGGTCTCTCGGTTGTTGAGGGGTCTTTGAAAAAGCTGAGGAGGACTCGGCTCAATGCAGCTGGGTGCCGACCGGGATGGGAACACGCCCAGCACCATGGCCGAAGCCTCGTTTCCCCACGGATGTGTAAGAACCTGAAGTGAATTTGATACACAAGGCCCGCTGCGGCGGCTTTGAAGACTTAGCCAAGTTCCTGAAAGCTGCCGAGCACAGCGCATCGTTCGGAGCTGTTTCACAGAGACAGAAAACGTTCTCAGCAAGCACCGCACCGCACCGCCGTCAACGTGGAGCTTAGCGCTTTTCGTCTTCTCCGAGGCCTCCGAGGATGCTCGGTTCCTGCACCAGACGCTCACCAGCGTTCTGGGGCCAAGGCACAGTCTTTTCAGAGAAGAAAAGCTCTGTGTTAGAGAGGAAAGGAGGAAGAGGCGGTTGAGAGCACTTGTGGAGGCTCTTCTACCGGCTGCCAAAGCTCGCGGCCAGGTGAAAGATCAGCTCTCACACTCTCCTCTCCTCTCTGACTCTACCTCTCTCCTGCATTCTGCAGTCTTTTCTCCTCCCTTTCCTTCTCCCTCTCCCTTCATCTCAATCCATCAGGTACATGCGCAAGATCGCGCTGTCGGCCGAATGCCTCGAGGCCTCGAATCTGCTTCACACAGATAAGCAAAAGTCAAGCCAAAAACTCCTCGTGAGGAGTTCTCCAGCCGCAGCGAGTTCGAAGAGCGGGCCACACCGCACCTCTGCCATCCTCTGCCATCCTCCGCCATCCTCATCCTTCATTCATCCTTCATCCTCTCGCATCGCCTCGCGATCACCTCGCGATCACCTCGCATCAGCTCATCCTCTAGGATTTTTTCTGAGGGAGGTTTTGGGACGCCTTGAGTCTTGAGGTACCATTTGGCCAACGCCCTCTTGATCCTGAAAGCTGCCGGTGAGGTAGAGGCGAAGACGGCTCACAGGGAGCGGATCCAAACAAAAAATCCTTCAAAACTTTGAGTGGCACCAGTCAAAAATAATCTGTGAAGAAGGGTTGTGAAGAAGGGTCAGTAGTCTGTTCCAGGCAGCGGCTGAGCTCTTCGAGGAAGCCCAGGAGCTACGCTGGCAAAGTCATCGGCCAATAACCTGGCAAAGCCTCCAGCAGACTCCAGCAGTTCACATCAAGGCGCGACTTGCCTGGTGCTCTCTTCTCCAAGCCTTCACCCTATTGGCTTTCTGTTGGCTTGCTGTTGGCTTGCCAGGGCTTGGCGCACCAACCGTTCTGGAATCCGAAGCCTCCACTGGCAACTGTCTTGCAGGACCCCCCCAGCCCTGAAAACAAGATCTGACGCCAGCTTTCTCAGGAGAACCACCATGCGATCAAGCAGGACACAAGAAGTCTTTCCAGTGCACATGTGTGCATCTGTGTGTAGAGTGCAGGAGTTGGCAGAGCTTCGGCAAAAGCGCTGCGAGAGGGCCAGCCAGGCAGAAGGAATCCAAACGAGCTTTTCTGAAAAAGTCCGAAAGCGGAGGTCCTTGCTGCCTATCCCAATCTGGTGGAGCAATCAGGCGTGTCCCAGAGCTTCATCCTGAGCCCTTGGCGCTGCTTTCAGAAAATAGAAAGAATTCAAGGGGGCTCTCACTCTGAGAGCACAACATCATGCAGTCTTTACACTAAATGCCGAATCACGTCCCTTTGCAGGAGTCTGGGCCTTGCTCTCAGAGCCTCAGGGAACGCCCTTTCTGTGTGTTTGATGGCCTCTGAGCTAGGACATGCTGCAGCTTTACTCGGGGCGCCAGTGGAACGAGGCCTTTTGGTGAGGAACGAAGCAAAATCTGTGAAACGCACATTGCCTCTGTTTGGTGAGGATGCCTGTGCCTGAGCCTCGGCGTATGTGACATAAACACCTCTCTGCATTGTCTGTTTTGCAGCATTCTTCTTGCGTGTTCGGAGATCACCGTGCCCGAGATCCAAGTTTCATAGTGATATTCCTACAAATCGTTTGCCGACGAGCCTTGTCAGGTCGGAACGGTTTATTTCAGGTCGGAAATTCAGGACGGCCCATAGGCCATTTCAGGTTCCCACGCAGGACATTTCAGGTTGGCCATGCAGACGATTCAGGTCAGCTGGCCCCTTGGCCGGATGGCGAGCTCGCATTCTGAGTACGCACGCGGGAGCGCCACCACATCAGAAACTACAATCGCTTTGGGGGTGGGGGGAGGCTAGTCTCATTTCAGGTCTAGGGATTAGGACTCACCAGGGGTAGGGGGACACCGATTTTGAGGACGCTCCACGCCGGAGCCACACTCCGGCCGTCGGAAGATCGGATTCTGAGAAGGCGATCGGATGCTCCACGCAGGAGCGGACCCGAGAGATCGGTTCTGACAGCCGATCGGATCCTGAGGAAGCTCCACCCTCGAGCGCCGTCCAAAGTGAGAATGCAATCGGACTTGAGGATGCTCCACACAGGAGTGCCATCGGGCAATCGGATTCTCAGGACGCTCCACGCACAGGAGTGCCGTCGGGAAATTGGATTCTCGGGACGCTCCACGCAGGAGAGCCGTCGAGTGATCGGTTTCCGATGACGGTCCAGCGCCGTCGGAAGATCGGATTCTGAGGACGCTCACACAGCGCCATCGGGAAATGGGATTCAGGATGGTTTAGATTCTTGAGACGCCTTCAGGTGTGACGGTGCTGTGATGTTCCAGTCCGTCCCCAGGTAGTGTCACGTCTTGGGGGCTTCTCAGGGGCCTCTTTGGGAGTGGCGTTGAGAGTCACAAAGTCAGATTTTGAGGACGCTCCAGACGGGAGCGCCGTCGGGTGATCGGATTCTGAGGAGGCTCCACGCAGGAGCGCCGTCCCATGTCCGACTTCACGCAGTCCCGAATCGGATTGCGCGCACAGTCCCAAAGCATCTCGCTGGCCGACCCGAAACGGACAATGCCTGCTTGCCGAGGCAGCGGTGATAACATGATGCTGGCCCAGGGAATTCGGGAGATGTCACTTAGAGCGCTGCCATCACGCTGAAGCGGAAGGCTGCACTCGCGACCCAAGCGATGATGCAGAAATGAGGTCCGGAACTCATTCACCGATCGGGGATCACTACCTGCCCAACCCCTGTTTTGGTCAAAGATGTCCAAAGGGCACTCTCCGTCAACGTCAGCTGCCAACTCACCCTGCAAAAGCGCTTGCTCTTCTGAGAATCAACAGAGCTTGCCACAGCTGATCACCGACTTCACAGACGAAGGCCGGATGCAAGTTTAATCTGTGTGGAGTCTAGCATTTTGCGCGCTGGTTTTGGATTTGTGGATCTTCAGCGAGAGCGGTGGCGGAGCATGCGGAGCAAGAGAACTGGGAGAACCTCTGGCTTTGAAGTTTCGGGAGTGCGTTTGTGCTCCAAATTCTCGAAGGAGAGCTGATAGTACTGCAACGACACAGTATGCAGCGAATACCATTGAGAGAGTCACCAAAGCTTGCAACAAGGGACTGAACTAAATCTAGCAAACTTTGGTTCAGCCCATGCAGCTCTCCTGAACTTCTCGATCAACGCTGCGAACCGAAGTTGCGGATAACAGCAAAGAAGGAAATCCATGGTGAATTCAACGCACCGTCACACGAGAAGTGTATTTCGATGAAATGGAATGTCGCTCGGTGAAGGCTCTACTAGGCTAGACGGTTGGGTTTCTGCGATCCGGCCCGGGCATTGTGGCCACGCAGGGTCCAGCTTTGCAAAGCTACCACAGGGCCGGTTAGTGTAGAAGATGTCAGTGACCTCGTCAAGGACCGTCATAAGCTAGCCATGGGAGTGCGCCAACATGCCACCCTTGTGAGACCTCGCCGCCTGCCCATCAGCCACTACAGAAGTCAATAGCCCTGGCTCAAGCCTCCACACCGGGTATCTCTTCAGTCGCAGACAGGTCTCCTCAGATTTGCCCCTCGTCCCAGGAAAGCAGTGTACATGGATTGGGCCAATGACCAGGTTGGTAGTCACGAGTATCATAGGGCAGATAGGTGTACCAACTTAGCCGACATTGCTGCTGACGTTGAGGCAGGCTCTTCCAACGAAGAGGAAGCCGACTTTAGTCACTTCCTTAAGTCCTGCTTAGTGAAGGATCCGTCAGTTACTTCCGGCCACACGGAGGAAAGGTCCGTTGAAGATTATCCCGATATTGCCCATGCACTTTCTACGTGCAAGGTTACAGAGTATGCATGGAGACCTGTTGTAGATGAGGTCCTCCTAAAGTTCTTGGACTCTACTGCAATCCACAAGAAAGATGGTTTCCCTTCCTAAATGGACAGGCTCAGGTGACCCATGAGCTTTGTTGCAACCGTTCCTAGAGGCATGATCCCGGTGGTCGAAGTGGAGACGGGAGGGAACTCATTAACCCCATTGGGCCGTGGCTTGATGATACCCTTGATGATCTCAGAGCACGCGTTGTGGCCTTGGAAAACCGCACATGGAGTTTCTCGCGCTTCTTTCTGCTTAGGTACCAGGCTGTGAAGATCAAGGTAAGACAGCTTCGTGTACGGGTTTCTTCGTGCTGTCGTAGAGAACGCAGATAGGTTACACGAGACGTGTCTGAGGACGTCTGAGGCAGTGAAGTGTGCCTATGCGATGGCTGCACATGTCTCATGATCGCTTACCCAAAACAGGCTCCGAATGCTTGCATTGAGACATCCTTTGCAGCTGATGCTCTTGTTGTGCTTCATGCATGCAATCCGGCCTCTAGCAATTATGCCCATGTCACATGATCCCTGCGGTGCGCATCCCAGTGGACTTGTCTGCTTGGGGTACAACTCTTTCTCTCCGTGTCATTGCTCGCACACACTTGTGTCCTTGGGCGACTTTGCTGTGCCTACTTGCTTGCTTGCGTCCTCGTCTTTCCTTTGGTGGGCCTACGTGGGAGCTGCCTTGCATGCCGAGATTAGTTCTTGGATGGAAGCTTCCTCGAGCTGCCAGCACTATGAAGCTGTCTCAACGCACTCTAGGCAATGAACCTTGGTGAGGTGGAGCTGACGCCCCTTCAGGTATATTCTTTATGTCGTGCACCTTGACACTTGACTCGTGTGCCCGGCTTGGATGAGCGTGTGAGTCGGTCGGTGTGCTGGATCAATGTGTGACGAGCCTGGATTTCCTTCTAGCCTCTCTGAGGTCATGATGATCCGTTTACGGAGTTGATCCAGTTGAATATGCCGTCTGAGGGACATTTGATGATAGCTGATTCCGCAGTGTCAGCATGGTGACACTCCTCCTGCCAAACTATGCTGATGTCTCTGGCGTTGAAACACTTGCCTTGACTTGCGCGTTGGTCTTTCATGCAGAAATCTTGTGTGATGACCCTGATAGGAGTCCCGCTATGACGCAATTGCCCCCTTGGCATTTCTGTGCTTGCTTTTGCTCTGACTGTCATTGGAATAGCTGACGCACTTGTTTGAAGGTACATGAGCGTGTCTCACACTACTGCTCCATCCCAGATGTCTTGTATCTTACCTTGAGCGGTGCGACAGTGCGCTTGCGAAATAAAAAGCTAAAGCTCTTAGGGCCCCTGAACCTACTTATAAGATTAAGGACTATCCCTTTAGAGTATCCTGCGTCCTGTGTTGGATGCAATTGATCTGGCACAGGGGAAGTTCAGATGCGCGTCGCGCTACTCACGTGCAAAGTTTCAGAACCTGCTTTGGAAATTCTGTGCGCGCACACCCTGATTTTAAACTAGGGGCTTTTGGAGTCTGATGCAGATGGACACTGATTAGCACATCTCTCATTTTGATTACCGCAGGGGGCACGAGTGTGCCTGAGGGTCTGCTGCCAACGAAGATGTTCTCGGTGCACAGTGATATGAAGCCGTGAGAACGTGAGGAGTAGCACATGTGGGTCTGTGAGATGTTTGCGACGTGCTAGTAGATGAACATGTCAGAGTTCTTCTATAAGAACGTGACGGAGGTCCCCCACACAATCTTCGACATTGGACGCCAATCGGAAAACCTACTCCGTGTGTGGCCATTGGCGCCAACGGCAACTATCCCCACGCAGGAACTGCCCAGACCGTTGTGGGCTCAATGGGCTTACATATGGCTTCCTACAAAGACTCTTACGTGTAGCTAAATGGCTATGTTATTGGGCTTCTGTTGGGGCGGGGTCCTTCCTGCTGAATATTTACAAGAAATTCACAGAATGTGCCATTTCATTAGGTTTTTGTTGGGGGTGGGACGCTCCTTCCTAGCAGGCACGAGCCTCAAAGCCCATAACCCAGAACCTTCTGCTGGAACCTATTCTTGGGAGTCTTTAAAAGTGATCGTGGGCCCCTGCTACTATTACTACTACTACTACTACTATTACTACTATTACTACTACTACTACTACTACTACTTCTTCTTCTTCGTGGCGCAAGAGTCCAAAGTCTCCTTTGCGTAGTCGGCAAGCGTGTCTAAGACCGCCCGGCTACCTTTGGTAGCTACCCTGTTCAGGGCACCAGCAAAATGCAAGCCCGTTCCAAGGAACCAAGCAGCTTGCAGCAAAAGCAAGTCCTGGCCGACAGCCCTGCAACTTGCTACCGCCGTATGGCGAAAACATTATCCTCTGCAAAATAGGCAGCTTCTGTGAAGCTAAAAGGCGTATCATCTCAACTTTAATGCAGAACATGACTTCTCTTGTCTGTACAAAGCGTTGAACAACTGGACCGGTGTTGGCTTCTGTGACTCACTGAGTCAGGAGTGGACCTGGCAGGGTTGATCTTCGCATGCAGCGCCAGAAGTGCGAGCACTGAACCAGCGAGAGGAGGGCATCTTTTCTCCAATCAGCTTCATGAGCGGAGGCTGCGCCCAGTACACACACGAAAGCCAAGGCGCTGTAGCTCAAGGTGATCCGCTGGGCTGAGAAGCTCTGAATTACGCACGTGGTATCCGATCAAAACAAGTCGGTTCCCTAGCCAGCTAGAAGTAGCATGACGAACTCTCGGACTGAAAGTAACGAAAGGCCTGGCTACTGGGACTATTAACCTGCCCAAGAAACCATCCATTTCATGACGCCCTGCGCAATCTTCCAGCCATAGTTCGCCATTCTCAAAGTTCGAGGCGGGAATCAAGATGTTTGGTATGTTAGCCGCATTGCTAGAATCACGATGCACACCAGAGCGTATATTGAGGGAGATGCCCGCTGATGTGAACCAATGAGAGGGCGCTACGCTTTGAAGCACTGCAGCAAACATCACAGTTACATACACAAATCTGTGTGAGTTGGTCATGACACCAGCCGAGATCCCATGGATATAGGCTCCAGTCAGGAAGGAACACGACCATGCATCACCCTGTGAAGAAACCTGAAAGTTGCGGGTGCTGGAAGGCAGGGATTCCGTCAAACACATCAAGTCATCCTCCCATATCCAGCGATCGCGCAGTGCTCTCAGCGCTATAACCTCGCTTGCGTGTTCAGGATCCGGGCCCTCAAGTCGAAACTCCTCCGGAACATGTAAGTTAAACCCATGTCTGGCCACAGGACTGGCCGCCGGGGATGGCGAGTATCCATCTAAGCTGTCGCCCAAACTGCCTGTGTGGCACTCCTCCGCCTCATCCGGCTCAGAAGGAAAGGTTGGCTCGCACATGTCCAACGCTTCGGGTTATGGAAGGGCCAGTCCTAAGATCGAAATCAAAAGCAGCTCCTCCCATTCTTCTTCATCTACCCCAGGGGGCCGCGCCGCCAGAGCTGGGGGGCGGACACCTTGGAGGAAGCTGGCAGTTGTCAGGTCCCTACGTGGTAGTATACAGTTCGCGGTAGTAAAAATTTCGGCCAGTCAGTGGCGACAAACTTGAGCTTCAGTACGAAGCTACAGGGCGAGCGCTTGAAGCGCATGCCGAGAATGTAGCTTTGCTGCCTCAAGGATACAAGAGCTGGGAAGAACCGGATCCAGCTAAGGGCAAGAATTCCAGAGCCATGAAGCTTCGAGAGCAAGAAGAAGGAGACTTGCCAAGGTCTTTGGGTCAGATTTTGGAAGACAAAGAAGACCCGACCAAGAGGGAGAAAGTCCTGAAAAGGGCAGGAAAACCTGGTGAAGGCATGTTGTCAGATCTGAAGGTCTTTCAGCATGTTGCATACCCGGTTGCTCCGGATGCGAAAGGAAAGGGTTCCAAGCAATGCTGTGTCGGACGTGTTCTTACGATCCAAGTGGCGGAACGCGAAGTGACGGTGCACAAGCACGCAGCTATTTTCGATAGTGACTTGCGTATCAAATGGAAACCTCAGATGGCTGGACATGGGGCAGGGAGGCTCCGATGATGATATGTCCAGTACACCAAGCGAGGTGGAGAAAAGCAAAAAGAAAAAGAATAAGGAAAAGAAGGGCGAGGGGCAAGAAGGCTGTTGACCGAGGGCCCTTCGGTGGAGGGGAGGCCATCAGCCTTGATGGCTCGTCCTCCAAGCACTCTGAAGAGTCGGATTTTCGCGACGCCCCGACCTCCCACAAGAAGGACGCTCAGCTGGAGTACTCCCAGAAGCATCCGGGTCGGCTGACCTCGCGTCTCCTCGTAAGATGCAAAATCTGCTTGCACGGGAGACCCAGCACCGGCCGTGGTGACAATCCTGGCACCGGAGCATCGGGGGAACGCCGCGCTGAGGATGCGCTCACTGAAAGAACTCAAGACCTTAGCGGCGGCGGTGCCGGGAGGCGGCCGATCTCCTAAGCCAAAGATTGAAGGCGATAGAGACGTCGTTAGCCGACTCAGTGAACTGCTCCCTTGCTCCTAGACTAGAGGTTGCCGAGTCAGGGCAGCGAAGGCGACCAGCGCGGCCAGAAAGAGGCGACTCCGCACGTCGACCAGGACGGCAAAGAAGGGGAAGGGCAAGCAGAAAGGAGAAGAAGAAAAAGGAAAGTGAGCCGTGAAGTCGCGGAGAAGGAAGTAGACTTTGGCTCACCTACTCCGCCTTCTTCTAGGCCTGATGCGGTGATGGAGGGCCTGCCCTCTTTGTGCCAGGTAGCCTTCACAGCCCGGACCGAATTCCAGTTTAAACCCCCAAGAAAAGGCCCCGAAAAAGGGGGTCCCTCATCCTCCTTGAGGAGGAGGACCAGCTCCTCATCGAAAGTGAAGACTTTACGTCTGCGTTTAACTTGTTTAATTTGCCTCCCTCCTGGTGTCTCCTGTTCTTGTGTGGGAAAAAGGTGCCAGGATAGGCGCTAGGCAAAGACGTCGAATGGGCACGGCCTGCCCTTAAAGTGATACCCATGGGGTGGAGCAGCGCTGTCACAATTCAGCGCAGGCCGTGTTGAGGAACCTTGTGTTCGTGAAGGCCAAGGTGCCCACCGCCATGGAAGTCAGAAAGGACAAGCCAATCCCGAATGGGTTGGCTTGGCCACCTTCGCAGCGATCTTTAGAAGACCCCTCTTCTCCGTGTTCCAAGAGGTCTTCCCCCGCGCGGCAGGGCCCGGTCTACTCAGACCCTCAGGTAGCGGACGAGATGATGTCCTTAAACTTGCGGGAGAGATCGTTTGTACGGACGCCTCTCCTTGGGGAGGAGGGTCGGCTGTTGCTACTCAGCCAAAGAGCCTTGAGGTGCTCCCTGACCTCCACTGCGCTAACGAGTGGCAACGGAGTGAGCGTTTTGCAGCATCGACTGTGTGCAAGAGCACCGCAGCACCGCTGCGAGAGCTGCAGCCGGCCGTAAGGCCTTCATCTGCCCGCCTTTGTGGAGGTCTTTTGCAGCCCAGTCTTCCCCCTGACGAGGGCGGGAGAGGGACCCTGCGGACGACTTCTTCAGTGACGAGTGTCATGGCTAGGCGGCTAGGCACTGGGCACCCGAGTGCAAGTTTTTCAGTGCCGGTCGCGACTCGCGGAAAGCCCGTCACCCTCGGGACAAGAACCATGTGCTGGGGTTTCCGTGGACCTCAAATACCACGTCGGCCATCCGTTCCTTGAAGGAATTGAAGAAGGCGCCTGCTCGGAATCACTTGGGGGTCCTTGAGCACCCTTACAACAGTTGGTTGTGGGAACTGGCTGAGGCCAAGGAGCTTGAGGAGATGCCCGAGTTTTACCACTCAGTCTTCAGATGTGCTGCTTCGGGGGCAAGAGGGGGAAGTGGACCTGCTTGGTGCACAACTCCCCAAAGCTGCACCAGGCCCTGCACAAGCCTCAGTGTGATGGCCACGCCAACCTTCTGCCCTACACGGCCTGGCGAGACTCTGACGGGAACCTCAAGTTTGACACCACTGAGGAAGCCCTCTACCCTTGAAGGTTGTGCACAGCTTATGCTGCTGCCCTGGCGGATGAGCTTAAGGACAAGTTCCTGTCATCGCACGGGATGCAGACTGTGGTGCAGAAGCTTATCCCTCAGATTGAGTCGCTGAGGGAGGTCCGCATGATGACCCCAGCCGATGAGGGCATGCCCCGCATGACGCCCTATCCCGCTCACCTTTGGCATTGGAAAGCGGTGATGGCGTACCCGTGGTCCAAGGAGGATCACATCTCCATTTTGGATTTGCAAGCTGTTCTGACGGAGATCCGCAGACTGACCAGACGGGATGAGTCCCAGAGCATGCGGTACTTCCATGTGGTCGACTCGCAAGTTGCCCACATGGTCATGGCAAAAGGGAGGAGCTCAAGCAAGCGGATGAACCGGGTCATGGCCTGTTGCCTTTTGAGCGACCTTTACCCCTTGTCGCTGTGGACCCTTCCCAAATGGAACTTTGCTGACAGCCCCTCAAGGAGATATGCCCCGGGTTAAGCCTCAGAAAACTCACTTAAAGTTCCAGGGTCTTCACAGCAAGACAGTCCGCGCCTACAAGAGCTCTCTCCCTTTTCTTCCAGTACCTCCGCCGCGAACAGCAGCCCCTTCCGACAACGCCCGAAAACTTGACCTCCTGCTAGGAGAGTTTGTGAGCGAACTTTTCCAGGAAGGAGAGTGTACGTAGGAAGTTTTTCTATAAGAACATGATGGAGGTCCCCCATACAATCTTCGAGATAGGAAGCCAGTTGGAAAACCTTATTCCGTGTGCGTCTGCTATTAGGTATCAGGTACCATCATGTGGCAGTCAGACACATGCCGAGGACCAAACACACAACGGGCTCGTGCATACTTCATTCAGATTTGCATCGCAGGCGTGCTTGTGCACCAGCGACGTCAAAATCAAACCAGTAGCGCGCATTCTACATTTGGCAATGTCAATTAATGTCAACACAGAGGAGAGAATGAGATAGCACAAGGGCTCCCTCGCGGGCGATGTAGCAAACTGAGGGCTTCACCGCTTCGCACACAGATGTTCCCTAGCCTTCAAAGCTTATATAATGAGCCATCGCTCAGTGAGCCGCGAAAGGTGGATGCTCCAGGCATCCATGCCCGCTGAACTGGCGCAACTCACTGTTGGCTTTAGCTTTGTAGTTCTCTACAGATCGGGTACACAACCAGAGGAGATTAACATTTGCAAGTAATTGATTGAGAACCCTGCAAGGAAGCAATGCTGATAGATAGCCGCAACATGGTGGCAGTTACGGAAAATAGCTGAGGCGCTGCTGCCGTTTACCGCGTCTTTGTTGCGGCAGTTCTTGCCGAGTGCCGATGTCGGGAAGCCCAGCGTAGAGCCATTTCAAGCTGGTGCCAAGTGCCTTAAGCGCCTTGCGTGCCTTGCGAGAGGTGCCTTACATACACTACAACACGGAGGCCACAGCCTTTGTGCGGCGTTTATCTTGCAAGTCCTATGCGGAGCTTTGAAGGAAGTGGTGGTCCAGAACTGAGCCAAGTGGAAGAATGCGAACGTTGCAGAGGAGTTTCTTGGAAGAGGTCTTCTTGCTTACTCCAGGCACCCGGGCCCTTGGCTTAGCCTGACTCAGCCTCAGCTTTGAACCCCACTGACTGAAACCTAGGTGAGGCTGCCAGTGGCCCGGCAAATTCTAGTGCATGCCACTGGATTCGGATCCTGTCCCGAATCCAAGGCATAATGGAGGCAGCAACGTCCCAATCAACCTGTCCCTCGGTGATGGTCTCAGTGCGAAATCACAGTGTCACACACATCTTTCTGGTAAAGAGAAGGCCTGGAAGGCTGCAGTGGCTCCAAATGCGAGGCGCGGCAAAAATTTGTCTGTGAAGCTCCTTTGATTTGTCTCATCCCCTGCTTTTCCTTCAAATGCAGTTTCCAGGTCGCTGGGGAGGTGTGCGCCTTCGAGGATGGAAAGGTCATCGCCTTCGACGACGGCTCCGACCATCGGGTCGGAAGCTTGGAAAAAGAAAAACATCTGCTTCAAACTGCAAACCCTTTGCTTATAGCGTGTCTTCCCTGCAGGTGTGGCACGATGGATCACAGGAGCAGAGACCCACTTGCAGCACTGGCGACCCTAGAAAAGCTCTACGCGGGAAGGAGCGATGGGTGCTGACTGTGCGCATTCTGCATCCAGACCTGGCGAAAAGCCCAAAACGTCCCTCAGAGCGAAGAAGTTCCATGAATTTCCTTTGAGTGCACCGATGAAAAACCGTGCATTTAGGCTTCTTCTGCAGGGCCTTCACGTGGCGAACCTGCTTCGAGGCATGTGATCCGGGTAGCATAGGGTCCGTTGTCATCAAGTTCCTTTAGGCCTGGGGCGAACAGCGGGCAGAGGAGCTGGGCTGTGGGAGAAAAGTCGCAAAGCTCCAGAACGTGCAGAGTGTAGACCGCTAGACGGCATGTTCTTGAGATGTCCGGAGATCTGAGGGACGCCACACTCCTAAGCAGACCGCATCGTGGCACAACCTGGCAGAGCTACGGGCCTGGGCCCTGCACCCTGGCCCCTAAGAAGCGAGCTCAACGATTGCGTTACTGCGTTTTACTGCATGTGTGTCAGTGCCGAGGTCGGCACTCCGGCTGGTTCCTCGGCCGAAGGCCGCACCCTTGCTGGACCGGAGCCCAGACGGCAAAGAGGGCAGAGCAGCTTTCTCTCGAAACCCGAGAAAGAGGTGAATCACTCCTTGGACTTTCTGGACCAAAGCAGCAGCGGGTCCAAGAAAAGCGCATGTTGAGGTGTTTTTGAGCGTTAAAGCTTCTCTCTTCTTTGCTTTGAGGCGCCTTCCCCGAATGCTGCGGGCTCGGAGCCGAGCTGGTTGAAGGGCCGAGAACTTGGCGAAAGAAAGAAAACGAAGGATGAACAGATGTTCGAACGAAGTATGAAGCTTTTTTGACTTTGATTTTGCCTCGCGAAGGCGTTGCAGTCGCCTGGTCATCGAGGCCCAAACCTTTTGCATCCTCGCATCCTTGCCGTCTTGCAGCTGGAAGGTGTCGAGCACCGGCTTTAAGACCAGAAAGTTTGCCCAGGCGGCAGAGTATACCGAGCCCCCGAAGTCTCCGGGCTTTGCTTTTCCAGGTTGGAGTTGCACGGGTCGGTGCTGACGAGGCCATCGGCTAAACACCCCCACCAAGACTCTCAGTGAAGTGATCTGAAGACTCTCAGTGACTTTGTGTGTTTCTGTGAGGCTTTGCCTTCCTAAGCGTCAGGCTGATGCCCTGGATGGCGTTGCGGATGAGTCCAAGCTCTCGGTGCCTTGGAGAGGATACTGTGAATTGCACAACTGGTCTTGAAGCCCAGCTGTAGAGAGTGTGCAGTGAACGCTTCCCTCGCTTCCACCGTTCTGGTGGCTCAAGCATGCAGAGAGCACAGACCGAGGCACGGAAAAGGGTTCAGACCTTCAGCTGCAGACATGCATCATGTATTCACCAGTTTGGTATTTTACATGTTTATCTCACTTGTGGTGACACACCATTCCAGTGTCAGGATCAGGGTTAGAACCTTGATAAGGCTGATAGCGCACCTGCCTTTAACATGGCAGCGGAGCCTGAGTTGCTCTAGCAGTTTCGCTTTTGTGATCCAGGGCGCGGTGTGCTGTCAGAGTACGGTCAAGAACTACTTGAAGGCCATGGACTCCAAGAACGACGACAAGTATGTTCCAATTTTCGATGGGAAGCTTGACGCTTACCGGGATTATCGCCGCAGGGCGCTTTTGTACTTTCACGGCCTCGAGGATTCAAAGCAAAGCTTGGCTGCACCTCGCCTGATTGCATCGATGTCAGGTCCTGCCTTCGAATGCTTCAGAGAACGGGATCCTGGAGATTTCCGCAATGCAGGCGGAGTGCAGTCCATGTTGGATATCCTCGATGCGCGTTTCCAGTACACTCCCGAGCAAGAGCTTTCCGAGTGGATGGAGATTTTGTTTTGTAGCACACTTGTGTGCGCATGAACATGGAGCAATCGGGCGCGCACCGCAGCCCGATTGCTCGAACCGCCTTTTTGTGTGCTTTCTACTTTGTTGTCCTAACCGCCTGTGCCATGGCGGCCTCCGACAACATCGCATCCGCTGCTGCCGTCCTCCGCCGCCTCGTCTGGCGATGAGGCGACCCTTCGGGCGGCCTTAGCCTACATGGGGCGCACGCCCTTCCAGCGCCTTCGTCGGGCGTGGGGCGTACCGAAACACCTTTGGCCTCAGATGATGAGGGCGGCAGCGGACCTGCGGGGGCGCAGGGTTAGCTCTCCTTTCCGCCTGGACGCGGCGGAAAACGTCACCAACCAGGTGACCGCCTCTTCTGAGGCGAACGTCAACAACTTGACCCCGCCTTGGGCACCGACTCCTTCTTGGCGGCGGTCTCCTCCCCTACTACCAGCATGGCGACACAGGACCCGGTGTGGCCGCCTGCTTTGGGCGATCGACACCGCCCTCTGGGCGAGCCGCTCGGGACACCGCCGCTGCTGCTGAAAAAACGACGCCCAGCCGGGCATGACACCGCCCCAGCAGGGCGAAGACACAATGCGCGGACCCGCCCACTCCGGGCAGATCGCTTCCCAGCGGGCGGATACCCCGTGCTGCCTACCGCCAGAGCAGACGGTCCGCCAACTCACGGACCAAATTGACGGGGCGGCAAAGCCTTCTACACCGGGCGTGCCCCCGGCTTGCTTCGCGCAGGCTTTGGGGCCCCAAAAAAGGCGCCACCCGCCTTCTCCAAGGCGGCCCCCCCACCTCTGCCCTTCGGCAAGCCGCCCGCCCGGTATTGCGCCCTGCGCATTGCTGGGCGACCAGCAGGCCCCTCCAATCCGCCCCCTCCGCCTCCCATCGAGGCGACGTCTGTGGCGAGCTTGAGTGCTTCCATTTCGCACCGCCCTGCAGCAGGCGGAGGCCACGACACTCGGAATCTACAGCCGTGACTTGGCGCCCGAGATCTTCGAGGTGTTGCGGGCGCTGGACCGCAGAGAAGCCCGAGATCGAGTCCGCCTCAGCCAAAGTGGGCGACATCTCCGTCTCGCTTTGGGAGGTCACCCTGCAAGAGGTGCTTCCCTCAGACCGGGCAATGCTCGAGGCCATTAATGCCGACTCATCCTCCTCGGACTCTTCCGCCTCCAGCTCACGAGCTGAGAGGCGCAACGGGCGGAGTTTGCCCGCTTTTGGGTCCTGTGCCTTTCCGCCACGCAATTGCAAGCAGATTCCTCTTAGGCAGAGGCGGCTCAAAACAAGCTGGACAGGGCGGCCACCACCTCCGGGATACAGCTGGCGGACACCATGCGACTGGCGACGCCGGGTCACGGCAAGCCTTCTTGGCGGCGTCTGGCCCCAGCCGCCTGCACCTGGCGGACCCGGATGAACAGGGCAAGACACCCGATGCCTGGACCACGCCATGTCACTGGCAATATGGCGAAGACTTCGTACTCAGGTACGACGTCCTGCGGCCATTTCGGTGGCCGCCGCCTCCGGGGGCGGCAGCTCCTCAGACAAGCCGCCCAAGGACTTCCCACAATGAGCGGACCAGATCGAGCTCTACGGAAACGAGCGCCGCGAGTTCCCGGTCAAGGAACTCCTCAACGCCGAGGAGGTGCTTGCCAGGCTCTGGCATGAACACACGAGGTCCAAGATGTACAAGGCGCTCACTTTGGGCGAAATCCTCTCCCGCCGTACCTGGGCGGCGGGCGGCGAGCTCAACGGCTTGGCTCTCAAACGCCAGACCTCCCAACCATCCTCCGCCTTGAAGGTCGTGGAGCTCCACACTGTCGAGGAGAAAGAATGGGAGCCGAAAAGCATGTTGACCAATTGGTTCGTGGCCAAGGTCCGCGCCCAAGAGGCGGACAAACTACACCAAATGCAACAATTCTGGTTGCAATCCGCCTGGCGCATCGCCATGTGACTCAGGAGATTCGTCCGACCTACCGTCTTTTCAGGAGGCGCTGGCGATGCCAGAAGCCAAAGAAGGCGCCCAACCCGGGCGGCAACCCCGGCAACCCACGGAAGTGGGCGAAGACTGAGGACACCGAGCAGCCCAAGGGCCGCGGCCGCGGCAAAGGCAAGGGCAAAGGAAAAACTGGCAAGCCCAAAAAAGGCGGCCGCAATGAGGGGGACAAGATTCCCAGGAAGACTGGGGCGATTGGTCTTGGAACCAGTCCAGCTGGAGCCAGAACCAGGCGGAGGGCCAGAAGCGCTAGCGCGGGCCCTTGGCAGAGGCAGAGCAGTGAGCGGGGGACCCGACCACCCGCCCAAAAGGGCGAGAGGCTCGCAGGGCAATGAGCAGCCCACCGCTGCTCACGGCCTTTGATGGAATAGGGGCGGGCCCCTACCTCATCGAGCAGCGCTTTGGACAGCCACGCCTTGCGTTAGATTGACCAAGACTGCCTCAAGGTCACGGCCGCGAAACTGCCATGGCTCGCCCACACGGGCGACATCAGCAAGGACGACCCCAAGAAGGTCGCGGCAACCATCCACGAGGCGGACCCAAACAAAGAGTGCCTCGTGTTGTTCGAGGCGGCCCCACCGGGCCGTGCCAGGACTTCTCCCCGATTGGGCCCGGGGAGGGCCACCAAGGCGCAAGGGGACGCCTCTTCTCCGTCTCCGCCGACTTCATGCAGGCGATAGTTGACGACCTCCCGGGCTACAACACCGCCTCCATCTTCGAGAACTTTTTCATGAACTCGGCCGACGCCTTGGCCTGGGAGTGGCGAAAACCACACCACCGCCTGGATGGACGCCCGAGCGCCCCACATCAAGGCGGTGTACACAACGCCTACGCAGGTGCCCCTCATTGGGCTACGGGCTCAAGGGCTTCAACATGATAGGGCGCATTCGACCCAGACCAGGCTGGCCCGTGCGCCAGGATGGCCGTTACCAGACGCCCACGTCCCTGCACGTGCTGCGTGGGCAAACATAGCCACGCTCTGCTGGCCGAGCTTGTTGAGGAAGCTCGCCTGGGCAGAGTGCATGGGCCGTGCAAGGCACCGCCCGGATGGCCGCGGCGATGTGTCCCAGCTGCCAACTTCCACAGATTCGACTGTCTGGTTGACCCATTTCCGGGAGACATCTTTGTGGCGGCCTCCTTCGCCATCATCCAGGGCAAGGTCACACTTCGGAGGGAAGACTGGCGCAGATCCCATCACAACGCCACAGTGCAGGCCTCCGACGTCCCCACTCATTATGTGGTGGGCGACTATGTCCCAAACTCACAGAGTTCCTGGG